CTTTACACATAAGACATGTTCTTGTATTTTCTGTGAATTAGAAATTTGGAAAAAAACAAAATTACCATAAGCACAAATAGACAGATAATTTCATAACCAGTTCAAGATTATAAGACATAAAAGCCTACAAAACACTAGATTTATGGCCTTAAAAATTATTTAAATTCAAGAAGCTAGACATCAATGTCAAATCTGCCACAGTTGGAAAAAATGTTGAATACCCATAGCCGAATCTGAACGCATGGATCCACTTCCAAAAAGTCCCACTTATTAAAAAAACAAATTAAATTTATATGTTTTGTTATTAAAAATATGTTATTTGATGAAAAAATTGAAGATTTAATGAAATAGCATACATATTTTTTGTGGGATCAAATTTTTATTGAGATTATATAAGTATATTTTATATAATTGTATTTCACATAAGAAAAAAATGAATGTATTGTTATTAAAAAAAAAAAAATTTATTCAAACTAAATGTTAGTAATTTTTTTTGTATGGGGTCTCGAAAATCTCAAATCCGGTTTCCAACTGAATTCGGCAAGCTGTACATGTGCCCGGAAAACAGGCAAATACCACATAAATAAACAGGATGCAGTTTAAGAAGAAAATTGATAGATTAGATACAAGAGGTACATAGAGTAGAGTCAAGGTGAAGCCAATGAACTCTTTAAGCATCATTTTGAATATCACATAGAGGGGAAATACTTGTTGAGATGGAATGGTAAAGAGTAAAACTCTTCACTTCTTGTATCCAATTTAAACGACCTGAAACGATCCCACCAAAACATGCCCCGATCTTTCCTCGTCTCGCTGTCTTTGGATGGCAAAGTTACATCAAGAAAGAATGCTAATATCCCAGCCACGAATGCTTCAGAAGAGAATGGAACATTGATCATATCATTGAACTGTGAAGAACATAAATCAGCATTATTGTAAGCCAGAGGATATCGGGAAAAAGAAAAAAAAAAACAGATTATGTTTTTGGTTTTTACCCATCTTGCTCTTGTGTGAACGGGTCCATACTTGTTAAGAGCTGTATACTGGTTGAAGTATTGTGGTATCGATAATCCCATGAAGACCGAGAATCCGAGGATGAATTTTGTTCTGAAGCTGTTTAGATTACAGAACTGAAGTAAACATAGTCCACCAGCACCTGCGATTTTATTGGTTTGAATCTTAGAGATGTTCATTTGTGGTTTGGAGAACATAGCGGTTCGAAAAAAGAAAGGCGCTTCAAGAAAACGTACCAACGTATGCGAAGAACAAGCAATATAATGCTGCGACGATAGGAGCTGGAATCGAAGCAAAGAGGGCCCCAAATTTACCAAGAATGGAGAAGAAGATCATGAATACGGCTGATATTTGAACTACTCTTCTGCTACCAACTTGTGTTAGCGCTAACAAGCCCGCATTTTCTCTGCAAGATGATGGAAATAACCATTGAATTTTGCAACAAAGACCGTTTTTTTCGGGTGAAAAATACTTTTTTTTTAAGAGAAACCGGTCTTACACAGATACTGCTGCTCCATTTCCTGCTCCAAATAATCCACATAGAAGAACTCCAACGCCCTACAAAAATATATGTATATTTTTTTTTTTGGTTAAAAAAATAAATGTATATGTTAACAAATATGTCAAAATGTACAATATAAGGGAATTATGAAATTAGAGTCATTAGTTTACATGTTACCTGCCAACCAATTCCACGGCTGAGAACGGAAGGCGGGGGAGGAGTTGCGCTTGCGTACCTCGATACAGCAATGTAAGTCCCTGTGGACTGTTTCCATGAATAACAAGAATAAGAACATGAACACGCGTAATGAACTAATTAAGAGTACGAAATTGATCTTTAAGTGTTTGTTGTTGTCGCGGCAAAAAGAAAAATGTATAGATGATTTCTAACCTCAACAAGGGAAACAAATGAAACAGCCATCATAGCGAAAGCTTCACCCGCATGAAATGTTGGAGGTCCCCATTGGAAAGGATAAGGCACTGTTATCCTGCAATCATCAAGAACCAGTCTGAATTTTGTACAGAATGTAGCCTAAAGTCACTAGAGAATGCACAAAGATAAAGAGATAATTTCATTACCATGGAGCGCCACCAATGAGGCCAGAACGGTCTGTTCTGCAACTTGCCTGAGTCTTAGTTCCTGTGTTCTTATAGGCTCCACCAATGGTAAGTAAGTGCGCGTAAATCCAGACAATAACCACAGAGAAAATCACAGCAAATCTATGGAAAACTTGTCTTTCTCCTCGCATGAGTTTAGGAATGTACTGCAGAAAGAAACCGAAAACAATAAATCTGGTTAAGATCTCTTTATGAAATAATGAGAAGAGCATTTCCCGGAGCTTTAACCTGTGAGAATACGAGTAGAAGGATGATCTCAGGCAAGCCAATCTCAATGCATTTGGCTACCTGCAAGATAAAAGAAAACAATCTCAATGTACTCTAGAAAATGTTACAAAACCGTAAGAGAGATCAATTAAGGGAACACACACCAGAGGGAAACCGAGCTCATAAAGTCCAAAACCGGCTAGCGCTACCAGAGGAACTGCAGAGAGAGGACTCAAGAGCCTAAAGAAAAGAAACAACAATTATGAGTAAGCAGCAGTAAGAATCTGAATGTTCGTGGTGTGCGGAATTATCTTAGCTAACCTAACTACATTGCGCCAAAGCCCGCTGAAGCCAACAACGATCTGAAGAATCGAGGCAACGATAAGAGCACCCTGGATTCCGCGCATGATCCTCTTAAATTTCTGCATTTGTTTCATTAATCACTGACCAAATCTTACACAAAAACAGATAGATTTTCAGTTTTCTTTTCACTAACCTCCTGAGGATCCAAAATGTCGCTGTACCGACCAGCCAAGATGATCGAAAGCGTGGTCGGTACATAGGTGTAAGAAGCTCCAATGACGGCGGGAAGACGAGTCCCAAATAAGCTTTGAAGTAAAGTGTTAATTCCCGAAACAAAAAGCAATGTCTGAATCATCTTTGCCTTCTCTTCCTACAACAAATGAACACAAAACATTTTTATC